GAGTTCAGCGAACTGGCCCAGAAGAAGGTTGACACCTACACGGCGCAGGGCTTCAGCAACCTGCCCATCTGCATTGCCAAGACGCAATACTCGCTCAGTCACGACGCGGCACTCAAGGGCGCCCCCACTGGCTTCACTGTGCCCATCCGGGACGTTCGGCTAGCAGTGGGTGGTGGATATCTGTAGGCATCCCGTCTCAATTCTGTGCTTAAATTTGGATCCATTGAGCTAACCCATTGTGATTACAGGTACGCACTGGCTGCGGACATCCAGACCATCCCCGGATTGCCGACGGCGCCTGGATACCTGAATGTGGATATTGACCCTGAGACCGGAGAGATTGACGGTCTGTTCTAGACGGTAGATTCAACGTCATTAGTGTTTAGAGTTGGGACTGGTTTTATTTTCATAATGTCATCGATTATTACTGTTTGATCTAGCAAGATTTTTGGCCATGATAAAAACGGGCAAGGGAAGGGTTTAATTCAACATATTACGGCAGGACTATACAGGGCCGGTGTTTTCGGGTCACTGAAGGAGGGTCAACTTCAACAGGATTGCAGTGTCTCTTTCTGCGATATACATAGTACGAAGACTATTACATAGTTAGATGGTATCCAATGTAGAAAATCTACAGTGGAGATTATCTTGATTATCTCGATAGTAACTACTCTGTACTGAGTATAATTGAGTATGGTGCAGGCCTGGCGTGGGGAATCATAGATGAGTCATCGATAGTTCTCCGGGGAGGAGAGTGGCAAGTCCGACCGGCAGCGACTTCGGTGGTTGATGACCCGGCGGAGCACACTGTATCCGTTGCCGCGGGAAACAGCGGTTGCGATCGGCTGGACTGGTCGGAGAATTCTACTTTAAGCCTTTTAACGTTGCAGACACAGGGATGCGGATGGGATGGCTAAAAAGCAAATTACGCGGGATGTTGTCAGGTGCATTTGGGGTGTGACCATTTAAAATTGCGAGTTACGGCGTATACTGATGGCGGTTGTAGTTAGTTACGTGCACCGCGGAGGACTTCATCTTATCTTGATGGAGATCAATAGCGGGCGGACAATAAGCAGGGAGGGAGGGAGGGAGGGAGGAATGGAGAGTCTGGAGTACTCCGTAAGGCGGGAACGGAATAGCGCAGAATTGGGTGTGAGGAAGAGGGTCTGATGCCACCACGGACTGCAGTTTGACCGGGACCCATTAGTTAGTAGCAAGTAGCAGCAAAAGTAGTGCCAATTCCAAGGGAAGGGAACTTTTCCCCTCGAATAGTCCGGCTTCGGCGACCAGAAAGTCGCAACGGTGGGCGGAAAGGGAAGTGGGTGTGTGTCAATTCCAAGCCTTGGGAGGGAACATCCACGCCGGATAAGAGGTTGCCTTTTCCTCTCTTCACTCTCTCCTCTCCGTTCTTTCCTCATTCCTCCCCAGGTTCTTGCTTATTGCAGGAAGATTATTTCCCAGAAGTGAACAGAAACGATTTTCCGGGTTCTCCGATCTGCCCCGTGAAGGTCCCTTACAGCAACAGCCTCTCGTCCAGTCCGGCTTAACGGCAGCTTCCGAACTCCACCACCGCCTCCTTCCAGCCGAGAGCTTCACGGCTTCTTGCTTGTCTTTCCCTCGGGTATACTCTCTCTCTCCCTCCCTCCCATTCTCGTTGCCCCCCAAGTTTAGGTCCCCCTTTGCAGCGTGGATTTGCGATCCTCCTCCTCGTTTCCCCGTACCCGATAACTGATCCGCTTGGGCAGACTTTCCCCGGTTCCTCCCACCCAGCAGGCCCAGTTACTGTCGAGTCTTTGGCAATCCATCCCACATCATGTCGTCTGTCCGGTTCAGTTCCGCATTGGCGCGCCGCTCCTTCGCCGTCGCTTCCCCTCCTCTCTCTGCCCCTCTCTCTTCCTCCGCTCGTCGCTTTCTCTCTTCTTCCTCTTCTATTTCTTCTTCTTCCTCCTCCTCTGTCTCTACTCGCTCTCCCAGATCTCTTACTTCTGCCTCATCCCTTCTCTCCTCTCGTACTGCTTCTGCCCGCTGGACCGGTCTATCCTCGTTGAACCTTACTCAATCCCGCACCATGGCTACCGAAATCTCCAAGATCAAGGTCAAGAACCCCGTCGTTGAGCTCGACGGTGATGAGGTATGTCTGATTTGACTTTTTATGTTTTGGCTTCCCTCCCCTCCTTTATATATGTAGAATCCTGCATCTCGGCCCTGCCCCTCGTCGGGATGCGCATTTTCGTCATGGCGCATTCCAGACGCGGGGAATAACGGCGGCTGCCGCCTGGCCCCTGGCAGCCAAGCGTCAATCGTTCGGCGATCCAGGGCTCAATTGCAGGACAGCAGGAAGTTTTGACATGTGCTAACCTTGCTCTTTTACTAGATGACCCGTATCATCTGGCAGGAGATCAGAGAAAAGGTATGTAGTTGGCCCTCGGCTGCCCCGCCACGCATCAGCTCCAGATGCATTCCTCCCGTTCTCTCCCGCATCTTCACACGCTAACTCGGCCCCGCTTCTATAGTTGATTCTGCCGTAAGTCGAGTTCTTCCGATTATTGATCCATCCAGTCAGTCGACTAAGACATTACGCCTAGTTTCCTTGACATCGACCTCAAGTACTATGACCTGGTAGGGCTTCTGTGGCAAGAATTGGTGTTTTGGGTGGAGACTGACAGACATTGCAGGGTCTTGAATACCGTGACCAGACCGATGACCAGGTCACCGTTGAGGCTGCCGAGGCTATCAAGAAGTATGGTGTCGGTGTCAAGTGCGCCACCATCACTCCCGATGAGGCTCGTGTTGAGGAGTTCAAGCTGAAGAAGAGTACGCATACCGAAGCATGTGAAGGAGTCATTTGCTAACCCTTGCTTCAGTGTGGCTGTCCCCCAACGGCACCATCCGTAACATCCTGTTCGTACCTTGCTGCAATCCCTGCTGTTAAGCTCAATTGCTAATTTTCTGCAGCGGCGGTACCGTCTTCCGTGAACCCATCATCATCCCCGCCATCCCCCGTCTCGTCCCCGGCTGGAACAAGCCTATCATCATCGGTCGTCACGCTTTCGGTGACCAGTACCGTGCCACCGACCGTGTCATCCCCGGCCCCGGCAAGCTCGAGCTTGTCTACACCCCTGTCAATGGCGAGCCCGAGACCGTCAAGGTCTACGACTTCCAGGGTGGTGGTATTGCCCAGACTCAGTACAACACCGATGAGTCGATCCGTGGCTTTGCCCACGCCAGTTTCCAGATGGCCCTGCTCAAGGGTCTCCCTCTGTACATGAGCACCAAGAACACCATCCTGAAGCGCTACGATGGTCGCTTCAAGGATATCTTCCAGGAGATCTACGAGTCCACCTACCAGAAGGACTTTGAGGCCAAGAACCTCTGGTACGAGCACCGTCTCATTGACGACATGGTTGCCCAGATGATCAAGAGTGAGGGTGGTTTCGTCATGGCCTTGAAGAGTAAGCCTCTACCCCTGAAATTGTGTGAGGACTATGCTAATTTAAAACGTATAGACTACGACGGTGATGTTCAGTCCGACATTGTCGCCCAGGGTTTCGGCTCTCTTGGTCTGATGACCTCGACCCTGGTCACCCCTACTGGCGAGGCTTTCGAGTCTGAGGCTGCCCACGGAACCGTGACCCGTCACTACCGCGAGCACCAGAAGGGCCGCGAGACCTCCACCAACCCCATTGCCTCCATCTTCGCCTGGACCCGCGGTCTGATCCAGCGTGGCAAGCTCGACGAGACTCCTGATGTCGTTACCTTTGCTGAGGAGCTTGAGCGCGCTTGCATTGAGGTTGTCAACGATGAGGGCATCATGACCAAGGATCTGGCTCTGGCCTGCGGCCGCAAGGAGCGTGAGGCCTGGGTTACTACCCGCGAGTACATGGCTGCCGTCGAACGCAGACTCAAGGCCAACCTCAAGTCCCGCCTTTAAATACCCGATTGTTTTGCATTGATACACTAACGCTAGCGTGACTCGATGAGTCGATATTCTTAGAATTACGGGTTGCATTATGTAGATTTTACAAAAGGTGGAGACAGTTGTTGAAACCACATGTATAGTGCAACTGATGTTTGTTGTTCCATGTCTCATGAAACTTGTACATGCTTGATAATGAAAATAGATGCAGTCTTCTGATAAATTATGCACTTTTCTGGAACATTTCCTAACCGAGCCCACTTGATGTAAGAGTACAAATGAATCTGGGCGCCAACGGACCGAACCGTGGATCCTCACAGATTGTGGTGGCACACCCAGCCCAGTCCAGCAACATCCGCGGGGATATGACTGTATCAGTATCTATTGACGCAATAGATCTGGATCCGGCCTGCCAACCTCGGGCTTAGCCGTTGCCACGTCTGCTTCAGCAGCAAATCCTTTTTTTCTTTATTCCAATAAAAAAAGATGGTGATATCGTCAAATCCCAAATCGAAAGATGCTGCTGCTGCTGCTCCCTGCCTCCGAACGAAGTAGACGTCGTCCGTTCATCCCAGCAGGATGTATGCCCTGCCCGTGGGAATCGTTTTCCTTTGTCTGGCGACGATCACGGTCGCGCTGCGACTGTATACACGATTGAGGTTGGTGAGGAAGCCCGGATGGGATGATTTGTTGATTGTGGTGTCGTTGGTGAGAAGATACCCTCTCAGGCTGGTTGGCTGAGTATTGCTGATGGGAGTGGATAGGCGACTGATATAGTGTTCTTTGCGTTTTTGGTTATAGGTATATCCCCCCCATATAATATGCAATATACCTGGGATAAGTGATAACAAGGTATGAAATAGAAAGCCAAAACGGCCTCGCCGAGAACGAAGCAGATCTTCCGCCGGAGGTAGTGAGGAGACAATTGAAGGTATATACATACATACATACATACCTCCAACCTAACCCTACATCACCACCATACACATACATATACTAATATTATGGAATACTAATGAATCAATAGGCCCTCTGGATAACAATCCCCCTCTACAACCTCACCCTAACCCTCACAAAGCTCTCCCTAATCTTCCTCTACCGCCGCCTCTTCCCAACACACACCTACCGCATCCTCCTCATCCTCACCCTCATCTTCGTCATCATCACCGGCCTCTGGATGGTCCTCAGCACCCTTATCTTCTGCATCCCCATCAACGCCTTCTGGGATACCTCCCTGCCCCGTACATGTCTCCCCGAGGATGTCGTCTGGTGTCTTAACGCCGCGTTCCAAATCACTACGGATTTGATCCTCGTGGTATTGCCGTTGCCGATCCTGGCGAGGTTGAATCTGCCCAAGAGGCAGAAGGCTGCCCTGTTGGTTGTTTTTGCGTTGGGGTTTTTGTATACCTCCCTTGCCCCTATACCCTATATAGGTTGCTGATGATATGGGAAATGGTGTCTAGTGTCTGCGCAACAAGCATCATCCGCCTAACAACCATCGTCCGACTCCTCCAAGATCCTGACTTTACCTGTAACCCCCTATCCCCCTTCTCTATCCCCCCATATCCCCCACACCCCAAAAACTAACAATTCCCTAAAGCAGGAAACGGCCTCGCAGCAACCTGGTCCTTCATCGAATCCGCCGTCGCCATAACCTGCGCATGTCTCCCACCTCTCCGACCCTTACTCGTCCGGGTATTCCCGAAACTGATTCCTTCTCGAATGCGATCATATCATAACAGGGATAAGGAGTCGAGGTCGAACAGCAATAACAACAACAATAACAAGGCTGAGGAGGCGGGACTTCAACTTCCTTCACGACCACCCACGATAAGTAAATCCCGGACGAGGAAGTCTATATCAAGGAGAGGAACGAGAAATGAGGACTTGGATTTCCTATCTGTTTACGGGGGCGGTGGTGCGGCGGGGTTGTTTGCGCCGGGCAGTACGGTGTCGACGAGTGTTTGGGGGGATGCGGGGAGTGTTAGGTCTGCAGGAGTTGGGGATGGGAATGGGAATGGGGATGGAGGTAAGGGTGGGGAGGAGGGGGTGGGGAGAGGGATAGTGGGGGAGAGGGGATTCAGATTATGAGGGAGGTGAGGTGGGATTCTGTTTCTGTGTCCGAGTCGGTGGATGGGAGTCATGGGGGAAGTCATGGTGGTTGGGGAGATGTGGAGGGGAGGTTGTCAGAGGGGACAAGTGGGAGGAGGTCGAGTGGTGCGCCGTTTTTGCATCCGCAGTGGGTGGGGGGGAATATTGCTGAGTGGTAGTATTGTATAAAGTAGGGTTTTAGGAAATGGTATTTGGTGTATACACTTTTGATATGTGACGTCTGTCTCGGGCTAAGAGAATAGTAGTATCAATGAACCAGTGCTATCTACTAGTATTGATCAAGCATACTGAAGCATACTACATAACCCATACCTCTTTCAAAGGCCAAATTCAACCTTTGCCCAATCAGTTGTACTTCGCACCGTACCACCCATCAATGAAACTTCACCCTCTGATCCGCTATTCTGAGCATTCTGTGCCTCGGCATCTGTCTCAGCGTCCACTGTCTCAGCATCCTCCCTCTGAGTAAAAGTTTGTTCCTGTCTAGTCAGCTACTGTAGAAAGAGCGGATCGAGTAAGGCGTGCTAATAACAATGCAAGACTGCAAGACACTCACCACTTCTGTATCAATTGCCTGATCGCTCTGAAACAACAGAATCAATACGACCAATCTCCATTTCTGGGGCAGACACGTCGTCTTCGAACAACTGACCTCGGCGATTCAGTCCATCTCGATGCCGCGCACGCCTCCTCCGAAAGGAGATGTTTCCACTGTCTCCTGAAGTCGCAGCTTCACCTCCTCCATTCGCCTGAGGTTGAGTATGTTCCACAGATGCAGATACAGAAGCTGCATGGCCTGGCGTATCTACAGGAGTGGCTCCGTTTACATGGTTCCGGGGAGGTGCTTCTCCTTCCTGTTCTGCTTCAGCTGGACGGTCTGTCCCGGTAATTGGTACTGCGTGAATGGATGATGACTCAGTGATTGCGGTTTCCGGTGCGGGATGATCTCCCTGTCTGTTTAGATATCTCATAAAGGCCCGAATTCCCTCGCCCGTCTGGTGAGTCCCGTTCTCTTGGAATGCCTGAGACGCTTGGCTTGCCCGATGTCCTTGGTCTGAATGAGACATACTCACTAGACGAGTTCCCTCCTCCCCTGGCAGAGAAGGGTTCGAATGATCTGGAGACTCTGGTGGCGAATTCAGAGGCGGGATTGCAGAAGGGTTGGGGGATTCCGCAGGATGATCGACAGGAAAATTTTCAGGAGTATTCGCAGGTGGAGGATGCCCAGGACGCTGCTCATCACTAGTGGGTTCAGGACGCTGTTCATCACTAGTAGGTTCAGGACGCTGCCCATCACCAGTAGTCTCAGAGGGCTGCCCACCACCAGTAGATTCAGGAGGCTGTCCACCACCAGTAGTCCCAAGAGGCTGCCCACCACCAGTAGATTCAGGAGGCTGTCCACCACCAGTAGTCCCAGAGGGCTGCCCACCACCAGTAGATTCAGGAGGCTGTCCACCACCAGAAGATTCAGGAGGCTGTCCACCACCAGTAGTCCCAAGAGGCTGCCCACCACCAGTAGATTCAGGAGGCTGTCCACCACCAGTAGTCCCAGAGGGCTGTCCACCACCAGTAGTCCCAGAGGGCTGCCCATCACCAGTAGTCCCAAGAGGCTGCCCACCACCAGAAGACCCAGGAGGACGAGGCTGTTTGGGCTGGAAGCACTCTCGCAGTCTTTTCCGAGAAGAGAAGCACAATCCAACAAACGGACTAACATTTAAGCTTGCCCCAAACGGCGGCTGCTCAAGCTTAAAGGATGGATCCAACAAGATAGAATTCGCAGGCAATTGAGCAGCAAGCCCCTTGGGAAGATCAGAGGCCCGAGAAGAGGCATTGCTATCACTCCGCTCAGACACACTGCGATGGTAGCTGTCGACGTTTTTGTAGCAATGATGGCAAATCACGTCGTATTCGCCTATTCGGGGGAAACAGTTAAAGCTAGCGGGAAGCATAGCCTCGTAGAGCGAGCTATCGCCCCAGTCGAAATCGCCGACTTGGATCCAGGAAGGTAGTTCATCGAGGGGAATTAGAGGAACTACCATGTAACCTGGTCGGTAGACGTAGAAATTGGGGAATGGTTGGAATTTGTTGATAGGGTGGGACATGCGTGGTATTAATGTAGTGATATGCAGATCTTGGTTATCAAACGAGTGGATGGTGTATCAATGATAGATAGTGTGAAAAGAGTACAGTAATGGGTTGTTTTGATTGATTATTGTATATGCTTAGTTTGGGTGTGCTTTCCAGAAGCTGGTGTGTCGGGTGTGGCTTCCTTATTATTATTTTCACACTACTTCGATCAAGTCGATATCGGGCTGTAGGTCCCGTTTTTACAGGTAAACCCAAGATCAGGGTTGAGGGCTGCCGTTGCGTTCATGCAGATCACACTCGCCGGTTCCAGAACTTGCGGGTATAGCTGAATGTTGTCCGTCACAAAGTTCTTACAAGACTGGCTCGTATGGCACTCAATAATGAGGGCCTCCGTATGCTTCAAATTGGGCAGCCCAACGTTGTACCAGCAAGGGTCGGAGATGCAAGAGCCGTCACCAGGCTGGTACGTATTGATCGAGCCAGAAAAGTCAGACCAGGTGAAATCCTCCATCATCACAGCCGAACTGGCATTGACAGTCCCGGACCGGGAGGCGCCCTGGTCGGTATAGCTTTGAGTGACATAGATAGGGAACGTCACATTGAAGACTCTAATGTTATTCCAGGTCACGTTCTTGACGAGTCCGGTACCTCCGCTCCATGACTTGAATCGTGCGGCGTAGAGGCCATCGGCGACAGTCACATCGTCAAAGCGGATGTTGCTGATATTGGCAAAGTCTGTGGGGTCCTCTCCCAGCGAGCCAATGCTCATGCCATGAGTCTGATAGCCGATGGTGTTTCTTGTGAAGAGTATATCGTGCGAGTCCGCCCCTACTGCAATTGCGTCGTCGCCGTTATACATGATACTGTCGGTGATTTGAATATTGGTCCCCTCCACGTCGAAGCCATCTGTATTGAAAGGAAAGCTACCTGTCGAAGTAGCATCGATAATGGCATGGCTAACTGTAATGTCTTGTCCATGCAGCTTGACATTCCAGGCGATAGGCTTTCTGGACCTGAAGTATTTTATGGTCGCTTGGCTAGTCTTGAAGCTCATGAGATGCGGACGATTGTCGATGCCTGAACTACCTGCAGGGTTCGCATCCCACCAGGGCTGTCCATACGAGTCAATCCAGCCATTATTCACGTCTTCAGGCCCAATCCAGTCCACCTTGGGCCCTTCCAAGGTGAACCATGTAGAGCTACCGTCACTGACGATATTCTGCACGGCAGTGATGTTCTGTGGCAGGTGCAGATTGCCATGCATCCGGATCTCCACATTACTGAGGTTGGTGGCCGTGATCGGCTGGAAGACGTTATAATTCACACCCTTCTCGAAGATGATAACCGAGTCAGTCGCGCATTGTGCAAAAGCCTGGGAGATGGCAGACGAGTCATCAGCCGTTCCATTTGATGCCTGATATTTAGACGGAACCACGCATTGTTGGCTTCTAGATGCTCTGCTGGAGTGTGGAATTCCGTGGACGAGTGAGGAAGAAAGAAGGAATAGGAGTGATGCCTTGAAAACAGACATGATGATGTGTGAGTAGACAATAACTCATCAATTAGCTAGTAGCATTCGCATACTCACTTACTTATATCCCACCTTGGTGTATCGTCTCGAGGTTCAGGTCCTCAACTGCCATGCCATTAACATGACAAGCTTTCGGAAATTTGCATGTTCCTCAAGATCCATTAACCGGGAAATTTCCTGAAGAGGTCGCAAGTAGAGTATGCGCGGGACCTGATCGGCGTATAGATCAACCAAGACAGCAGCGCATTAGGCTGGCATTGGTGGAGAAATTGTGACAGTTAGCCAAGTGTGGAGAGCTGCCCAGAGACGGCCAAGGTAGGTAGCTTCCTGCTTCCCCGGATGTTCATGATGAGAGAAGTGTATGTGAAGAGCATCTTATATAATAGATAAAATAGACAAAGAAGTAGATTGACTGCTGATGTCAAACAAAGTGAGAGCTGGTATGCTGCAGGGATGCGATGGAGCCGTGCAAGTGTTTATCCGGGGTCACATGGGGGTGGAGCCGGGAGTCCAGAGTGAAACTTCTCCTGTCAGTGTCATAGCTTCTTGCTAGATTGTTAGTTAGCTAGCTATTTCTCTACTATCGCGTGTGACATAATCGCCCTTCTTACATCTACTTCTCATCTACATTCCTACAAATTAGCTCTCTTCAGAATGACCGCCCCCACACCCAAGTCGGCGCTCGCAACAATGCCGACGCCCAATATCCCTGCATCCGAAGCTGTCGGCCACTGCCAGAGCGTCGCAATAATCGATGCTCCACTGCAAGAAGTCTGGGATACTCTCATGGACACCTCTACCTTTCCCTCATGGAATCGATTCGTCCCTGCCGTGACTATCCGAGAGCAGCCCGGATGCGAAGGGGGCGATCTCTCCTCCATCCTCCAGGCTGGGACGAAGATGACTTATCACGTGAACATGAAGCCGACCAGCTCGTCCCAGCCACAGCGTGCACAGGCGAGCAATGATACTCCATTGGTCGTGACGGAGTGTGATCCGCCCAGCGAGAGCAAGAAATCCGGTCGCATTGTTTGGGTTCTTGATAAGCAGGCGCAGGGTCGCATCATGTCCTCATTGTTGGCAGCGGAACGGGTCCATGAGTTCGTGGAAGTCGATATTCAGGATGAACAGGGACAGATGAGAAAGGGGACGGAAGTGCGTAACTGGGAAGCGCAGAATGGAGCCCTGGCGTATGTGGTTCGCTGGATGGTGGGGGCTCAGCTGGAAGTAAATTTTGAGGTGTGGTTGCAGGATCTCAAGGAGTATGTTGAGAAGCAGAGGCAGGCGCGGGAATAAGATGAGCTAGTCTAGGGTGTGCCCCTTTACTTTGTACATAGTAATAATACGAGTTTAAATGGATGGCTCCTTGCTGAGAGTGGTTTTTGGTAGGGATTGCTGCATGCTGGGTACATTAGATGATATCCTTGGATACGTATCTAAACTCTCGACTCTCTATTCTGTAGTGTTTTTTCCGAACTCGCAAGGTCCCTGTTAGATGTGATCAAATACTGTATACCGTACGGGATTCCGAGACAGCCTTACAGCCACAACTAGCGTCGGCCCCGTGCGCGCTTGGCACGGCGATGTGTGCTATTCCAGAGCCATCCACCGGTTCCGTGCCAGGTCATTGCGTCGGGAACCGTTCCTTTGATCCCGTATGGTGAAGTGAGATATCAGATTGCCAGGCTTTGTCCCCGACTTGCAGTAGAGGGTGGAGCTGAGAGAGGTGCCAGTGTCAGCACTTCGGAAAGGAGGGAATTTTAGGAGTCACGGAAGAACAGATGATGACTCCACGCTACTAGTATGGCCCTAGTTGAGTAGTTATATGCGAGGCTTACGATGGCAAGTGGGAGGAGGGTCATGCACCTGATGTGACAGTAACTTGAAACTACGTACTACTATTTGAGAAAGACTAAGTTTGGTAGGAGGTCGGATGCAAAGTGGAGATTGGAAGAGCGTCTCAATGGCAGGCAATTTCCCTGGCAGACCATGACCCACGTGGGGGTGGAGATTGGCTGAGGCCCCCCCGTCCGAGGGTTACGTCCTCGGCTGTCTCTTGATTCTTGAACAGGCCTTTTTTGGGTTTGTCCTCATCTTTACCCCCTTTCAAGCAGCCACCGTCGAAGGTTCGAATTTTCGTTCATCCTTCCTAATCTGGAGTATGCGATGGGACCCTCGCCAGATTGAAACGGGGCCGCTATACTACCGTTTGATACATCCACGCAGAAAGAAGAGGGCTCCTGCAGGACTACCGCAGGGTGGATGAGCCATGGTCTGCATGTACCCATGTACGGAGTCCTACTTTCTTTTTTCCTTCAGTCGGGATGTTACGATAAGATCGACTAGTCTCGGACTGGCTGAGAGACCACGACCATAATCAATCTACTGTATATTCCCTGCAATGTCCAGCAGACGCCACGACGCGCGTGAAGTAGTGGAATTTGAAGACCTCGAGATGGTCATCCCTGCAGCATAGTGTGTCACACTTTTCACGGTCTTCGTCATCCTTTTCTTTAGGGGGTGGAGACACCACAAAACAAGGATGGGATTATGGTTATTCATTCACCCTTTGCGACGGCCATCCAGGGCGAAAATGCGAGGGTGACAGCCGTTTGTGTCCGAATGACTGGGTGAGAAGGAGACTAAGTCAACTAACAAGTAGAAAACTGCACGAAATTCGAGGGTTGAGGGGCCAGCTAGACCCACCGGCTTGCCGTATTAGGACAACCGGACAACTAACTAGACGGGAGACTAGTGCCCAATAGGGGATAGTGTCCGTGCAAATGGAGGAGAAACGCGAAAGTCGCAATTCCATTCAGTCTCGCTTTTTCCTCTTTTCTTGCCGTCGCATTCATGGCTCACTCTTACTTCTCCCGGTTGCCGCTGCGGCTTTCTTGCTCATCAAACCTTACCCCGGCTTGCTTTCCCCGTTTTTACCATCCAATTTCAACATGCTGCTTCGAAATAGAGATAGAAAATGCACACCCGAAAAGGACCGATGCTGCTCCGAGCATGTCAGTGGGACTACGAAGATGGTCTCCCCGCCAGGCCAGACTCGCCCCGGTGGGTGGAACTGAACTATCTATTTGGCATGTCACGGTTACTTACGACGGTTTGCTGTAATCACCCATGGTTCCTCGGGCACAATTAAGCTATCGCTCTTTCTGTCGATCTATCCAGTTACTCCCTCTCTTTTTGAAAATAAATTAATTTGCATTTTCCGAATCCACCGGGTCGAGACTCGTCGCCTCCTCAAAATTTTCTACTCCCTGCTTGGTGTTGATTTTCTACTTTCACTCTGATTTTATCCTTCTGTTCTGCTCTTCGAGACCATGTATATGTTGCAGTCCTCATCAGTCCGCTGTCTCTTGTCCTATTCATCTTCCTGCACCTTGACCCATCAATAGTCAGTCTTAAGCGCCAGGCGGACTCGAATCCCGGTGCCGACGTCATCCAACCGGCTTGCCACCAATTGCCTCGTCATTGGCTATATGCCCGCTGCTATTGCTTCTTTAAAATCTTATTCAAGGTCCTCGGAAATCCAGCGACACCAGCAGACGTTCTAGTGATTTATCTCGTATTCGCGCCAGTCCAGTATAGATACGCGGTGTTTTCTTATCGCGCCTCTTGACCGGAGATCCCTGGTCCTATCGGCGCTGAAACCAACAAACCGTCGCACCGATTTCAACTGTCGCCTTCCCCGCTATCCCCGCCTCTTGCGATCTTCACAGAGGCATCTGCTTCTTCAGAGTTGTTCATCATGACTCCTACGCATTTGCCGTTCCCGCTCTCTGTTCGCACTCAACATGATACGGATACTCGCGCGCCGCCTCTTCTAGTGGTGCCCGGACTGACACCTCCGGTGACGCCTACTGTAGATGACGAGAGTCTTTCAGGCAGCGTTGCCACCCTATATTCTGGGGCGTCCAGTCCATTCTTGTCGCCTGTCGAGGGAAAATTAAAAGATGTCGATGCGGAAGATCGCACGGTGTCCACCTCTGACTCATTCACGGATGAGTTGGAATACCACAAGGACCCCAAAGGCCGGCCTGTCGAGTATGGCCGCGGTCTCTGGAGCGTTGTCTACAAAGCAACTCCTTGCGAGCCCTCCAAGCCCTACCTGCTTACGCCTCCCAGCTCTCCAGCTGTCAAAGCCCGCACGGTAGCAGTCAAGTCACCCGCAAGGCGAGATGCGCACTCCATTTTGGATGCCGAAGCGCTCGCCTTGACTCGGGTCAGCCGTGTCGCTGGGTCACAGAACCATGTTGTTCCCTTCAAAGGATATATCGCAGACTCTCACTCCATCGTCATGTCAGCAGTGCCGTTGGCACTGTCGACCTATATCGAAGAGAAAGCCGCTGTGGCTTTGCAGAACAAGACCACCAAAACCATGTTCGAGCCCATTCAGGGCATGACCCAGTGGTATGACCTCGCAAAGAAGCTCATCACCGGTCTGTGCTGGCTCCATGACGGGCCGCAGATGATACACGGTGATATCAAGCCTCACAACATCTTGCTCCGTGCACGTTCAAACGACGACGATTTGGAATCCGACCACTTCCTTTACGAACCGCTGTTTGCCGATTTTTCCTCCGCTCACCCTATCAGCACTTCTTCCTCTCCCGAAAGCAGTCTGGGCACGGCTCTGACAGCTTTAACACCACCATTCACAGCCCCGGAGCTTCTCTGTGTCTCATCATTAAAATCCCCAGACGTGGCGCCAACCCCAGAGTCTGATGTCTTCTCTCTAGCCGTTACTCTACTGGCTGCCGCTACAGGCGATTTGCTCCTCTACCCGGGTGCCAACCACTTCCAGCGTCTAGCCATGGCCCGTGAAGGCCACCGCGTGATTGAGTTTGCTCGCTCCGGGCCGAATGGATCTCGCATACCGCGCAACGGGATCGTCGAACAAATCATTAAACCGGCAATCCTCAAAGACCCGAGCCAGCGCATCAAACCTGCTGAATGGGTTAATCTGGTCGAGTCTATTACGATCTAAGTTTGACCATGGTTGCCTTCCTTTCGTTATCGCATCCCGCGCTCTTATCTCGGACTACTTTTAATCTCTCGTTATCTTCGGACTTTTTTACTTCGGCCATTTCTTCACCTAGCCTCTTTTCTAATCTTGCTTTCACATATTTGTCAAACTTTCTCTGGTTTTTATCACCTTAATCTTCTTGGCACCACTTCTTTCTTTTATTTTTCTTACTATGTTCAACTCCCACCAGAAACTTTCAAGATACCCGTTAGAATAGATGTGCAGACGAAACAAATTACATTTTCCACATGACTCATTCTTCCCAGATAATTACCTGAAGTATCAATAATAGCAACAGCCACTCGCATTTCAGTTCACTTGTGGAGCCATGTGGACCTTCCCCTCCCTTAGTATGCTCTCTAGACCCCTGATTTAGGTCCAACTATGGCTTATCTCGAATCAAGAATACCTATTACTATTTCCATCACAGCGATAGCCATTTGATCTTTCCATCGAACAAACATCTCACATGGAATTTAACTCCATTACGCTAGAGCATGCAGTAGTTTAATTGATTTAAAGACGCCGAAACAATCGACTTCATGGTGTCAGTCGTTTTAAAGCAACTAATGATCTCGAATGATCTCTCAGTGCCTTTTTATTGCAATCAACTCCGGCTTGGATTAAGGTTATGTTACTGCACCATATACAATTCCATTCCTAGTTATTTGTATGTTCAATCAATCTTGAGAAGAGTCTATCATCTATCATATAATACTACAGTACATGCTAGTTATTACATATCTCATAACCAGATTTCAAATATATCCATCCATCCATCCAAACACCCAAAAGATAATCTCCTAATGAAGTCTCTTCTTCACCATCTCACGATGCACTCCCGTCTTATACGACGTCAACGTCCCCCCGAACAATCGATTCAACTGCACACTCGACACCGAGACCCCGCTGCGCTGGTACTCGATGCAAATATCCCAGATCGTCGACGTCGAGAGAATGTGCACGCGCACATCGCTCAGGTCGTAGTCCAGGTTCTCCTGGAAACTGGTTACCGGGTCGGTGCTGCCACCGTGGATGGTTTTCGGGAAACTGTCAAAGTCTGGTTTTGGTGTCTTCGCGGCATATTCGGCTAGGCTGGGGATGGATTTGACGATGTCGTTGGTGGAGCGGCCTGGGAAGATGAGTTGGAGGACTTCAGCGACGGAGAGGGATTCGCGGCCGCGGCCGAGGGAGAGGGAGAGGGTTTCGAATAGGCGGAAGGCGTCGCCACGTTGGGAGGGGTCGAGGGAGTTGATTTTCTCAATGACGGGGGAGTTGGGGTTCGGTTCGAAGTAGACTATGCTGCGGTCGATGCCTTGGGGGTAGAGTTCTTC